ATGGCTGACATATGATTTCATAACCCATATGCTCCTAATTATTGAACTTGCATTGTTTATAAAGGAGAAAATTAAAATAAATTTGGTTGAATATGTGAGGAAGCTTCACTTCCAAATGCTATGAAAATAAATTAAAAAACAAAAATATGAGGATGACGATGATAAAAAAAACAATTTAACATGTAGATGGATTCCAATATGTTCCTGACAGAATTTCCATGATTAGTGATGTCAGAAATTCCACGATTGGTGATGTCAGAAATTCCACAGCTACAAACTTTACAAAAACTTTCACATTCATATAAAGGCATTCGGAAAAAACATGGAAAAAACATTTTGCCAAAAATCACTTTTCACAACAATTTAATCTGGCAAGTGACACTTTTAACATAAAAGTTAAAAAACATCTAGAGAACAAGCTATAACAAACTATATTATAAAGTAAAAATGAACCATGTAATGTTTTAGAATGTTGTGCCAATCACTTGGTGAATATAGTCCACTTCCAGACTTCAATGCGTTCATTAAACAAAATATTATTTTTTTTCTCTTTTGTGAAAGAAATATTGCCACATTTGAAATTAATACTGCTTATAAAGTGAACTGTAAAGATTCTGGGTAAGTCCAAAAGTAAGGAATGCCCATATACACTGTAGGCCACTAATATTCTTATCCCAAGAGCTGTAATCTGTTTATATGTTCTGAGTATTTATATTTGGTTTTATTGTCTGTTGGCTAATACATTTAAAGCGGAACTAAACCCATCAATTTAACAGTTTCAAAAAGAAGATCCATTTCTAGCCCGTGCCAGGAATGTAACTGGTTCAGAGCACAACCACTGTGACAAACTGTCAAACCACCAAATGCTTGGTGTCATAACTGATCACAGCATCATGACAGTTGAAGATCAGAAGCCAAGTTGGCAACTTCCTTGGCTGTAAATGATAGGAGAGCTTAGTTCTGCTTTAAGGTATTAGACGTTTTGTTAAGAATAATGTTACCATACAATTGTGACAATGACAGAACTGACATTCAGTGGTTTACGAACAAGTATTAAACAAACAATGCGGCATTAAATAAACTTCATGGCCCATAACACGGCTCATTAGTAGAGTGGGAACAGATATGTGAAATTGTTGTAACTGAACGTAAATATATCAGAAATCCGTTTCACGGTGCCTAATTCCTCTGCCAGTTATGGCACTTTATGCGGAAATTGAATTGTATTATTTAATGAAGGCTCCAGCACAAAATTTCGACGTATAAATCTATTTTGTTTTAAACAATTCCTCAGAAAAAACCTGTTTGGGTTTAAACAGAAATGAGATGATTGCATTTGAAGAAGTTCCTGCTAATCAGTTCCTTTCTGCAATAAAGTTAAGGGGATATTTACTGCCTACCTGCTGCAAGTCATTTTTTTTTTCTTTTTTCTATTTGACAGAAATTTGTGCGCATATGTCAAAACACAGAGCATTAATGTCAGAACAATTTGGCAATAGATATGACAGATCTGTGCTGCAGAGTGCTTAGTCAGGCTTTTCATAAGTGAATTCTGGAAGTGTCTATTCACCGCAAATTGGAAGCGTTACGACTGACCTAAAATTGCTTCAGTGTAACAATATAAGAGTTGGTTTCTGGGAGCCAGAGAAATATTTTGGTATAAAAGGAATATTCTAAAGCTGAATGTGACAGAAGAATGACATGAACTAAGCTCCCTAATAAGAGGATGGGCTGACTCTGCACCAGAAATATTTAGCCATTTAAAGAACAATGGATTGAGAGTAATTAATATATATTCACTTTTTTCAGTATTTGCACAAAACCGCAATCAGAAATAAGTATGTTATATAATAAATGTATAGTCCTGAGGAGTAAGTGGGAAGACAATGCAGATAGAGAACTGTCAAGAAAGGGTATTGACTGGAGTACTTTGGGGGATAGTGCAGACTATTTTGAGTTGGCATTTGATTTGGATTCACTATTTATTTATTTTTGGATGATCAGCTATAGGCGGGTTCCAAGATCACCTTGCTGCCCACGTGCAGGATGCCAAGGGTTTAACATTTATCTGCAGGTAGAAAGGAAGAAACATCTATTTTCGAAGGCCAGTGTAGGTCCCGGGCATCAAAGGGCTTTCCAGCAGGTAATTCTCCATATTCACAAACAAGCTTTTGAGCCGAGTAAACCCCAGCAAGGTAATTTCTGTCACAGGATACCATTAGGTTTGATTTTTCCTAACTACCATTCTGATGTACCTCTGTAACACTGAATTTGTAGCTACATCCCCATCATTTGCTGTATATGTCAAGAATGACTTGCATTGCTTTATTCAAAGTTTGGGTGGTCACTTGTCAACAAGTGAAAATACAGAAAAAATAACAGTATGATGTAAATGTAATGTGAAATATTGCCTGCAGGTATGGGGAGAGGGGCTGATAAATTTCCACTTTTTATGTCACATGTTCCTCATGTTCAAGTATATAAAATGAGATTTATACAGCCCCAGAAGTGCTGTTTGTGCAGAGAAAATGTGTAGAGTTCTCAGATTCACTCTCTGATACAGTGCAATGTTTCATCAGACATGAGACAGGATAATATTGAAAACTGAGTAGATGGTTCATGCTTGGCAAATTTCGCATTTACAAGGGAATCACCTGCATAATTCACAACTTTGTGTAAAGCCAAGAAGAAAACCTTAAGTCTTGGTGCCAGGTACAATAGAGTTCAATCTATTTCTATATCCTCTGCTATATTGCCATCTCTACTACATGGATATATAATGCAGGATGACTATGTGTACTGTTTGATCAGGACAAGCACTATAATAGGGCCATACTGAGATCTGTTATGCTAATACTATTTATGGCTGAGATGTAATATATGTGGTTGGGTGTTTTGGTCATAAGAGGGAAAATAATCTGTCAGTGGACAACAGTAATGTACTCACTTATAGTTCAAATGAGCATATTGTTCAGTGGAAATGCTATTTTTGCTGGAGGTGGAGCAGGAAACTGACATTTCATTTTCTTCTGCTTTTTGTGTATACCTTGATGGAAATTTGTTATGTGGAGATGAATGCATAGAGGACTACAGGGGTGTGCAGTGCAAAAGTAGTTATGGTTTAATTTGAGGACACTGTTTTGTGCTGTCTGGTATAGTTTATAGATATTCTGATTAAGTAATCTGCCTGTCATTGAATCTCCATCTGTGAACGTCTCTACTGAAGCAGATAGAGAAGACAAATTCCTGACTCAAAGTTGGTACAGCTGTCTGTCCATTTCCCAATTTATGTGGCTGGGACTTGTCCTCCATGAAAATGTCAGCTGAGAAATCTGGGCAATGATGCCCTTTAGTCTTCACTCCAACATGGCACCTCTCAGTTGAATATGCTGCATAAAGTTGTTTGACGTTGGTAGAATCATTCACTAAATGATCTTGTAGATCTAGTCTTTTTTTTTTTTTTAAATATATTTTTTAAAAACGTATATGTGAATATCCGCTTAATCTAAATATTCATAGCAATGTGTGTTACTGATATATAATATATACACATACAGTAAATATTTCTCATTTTCTATAATTTATGTACATGAGGATAACCATATTTGTTGTATGTAGATGCAGCCTGTGGAGCACATCCTACAGCAGGTCAGAAAAGGTTTACTGTTCCTCTCTCACTGTAAGTCTATCACAATGCTAAAAAAAACCATTTCTATGTGGCTTATCCTGACATCTCAGCAGAAATTCTTCAGGAAGGCTGACTAAATTGCCTGATGCAGAGCTGTCCACTAGAGCTTTCCTATAATCCTTCTGTACTCTTCAGGAAAGGCGGACTATGTTACCTTGCACAGAGCTGTCCACTAGACCAGCTGCAGTCTCCCTATCATTTTTCTGTACTCTTCACTGATTGTTGCTATGGGTTACCACCCTGTTCATATTGCGCTCAGGGACCACTTTCTAAAGGCAACTTTCTAAAGGCAAGATTCCATTGTCAACTTTTTTCCCCCTTCATTATTCCTGTTACTTTGATAATTTCAAAAACCAGAGAATATTTGGTGGTGAAGTTGAGCAAAGCATGGGAAACTAAAAAGCAATTATTTTGAAGATCCAAGCACTGATTTAGGCCACATGGAAGGGCTGGGAATCTATGTAGTGAAGAGGCTGCACAACAGATGAGTTATTCTTACAAAGTATTTGATCCCACAGATATGTAATCTGGCCATATTGATGTGGAAGACTAACTTTAGCCATAGGTGTATCTCCTCTGTTCACCGCTACACTTCTGCCATGACCAGTTTAAATAACAGTAGGTCATTACTATGGAAAGTTATTTCCTGATTGATGCATCTATCTGGAGGTATTGAGTCGATATAATACAGGCAGTGCCCACCTCCTATTTCAATATGGAAGGCAGGAAGGTTAAATGTAAACCAGTCAAACATATTTTTCATGTAAACCAGTCAAACATATTTTTCAAGGAGAGAAACTGATTGGCTGCTGTGGTTTTTTTTTTTTTTTTTTTCATTTTATAGTTAAACATGGATCCTTCTGGATCCACGGACAAAGTGCAGATGTCATCAGTGTTCATATTTCCACCATACAGGACTCTGCAGGCTTATATAATAGGCCACCCATAGTGTTAGAATATTTGCTTACTATATTTTTTTTTTTTGTCACCCTTGTGGGCAGAATTTGGCAAATGTTTTTGGACAAGAAAGAAATAAAAAATCGTATCATTTAACATTAAAATAATTCACCAGCAATAACAGGAATCATATACAAATATGTATTGTTATGGCACATTTTTACAACAACTGAGAGTAGTTTTTTCTCCAAGGAAAAAAAAATCGCTATCATTGCATTTCTAGGTGTTTCCCCAGAATACATCAGTCTAATGTGTTGCCTCCAGCAATGAGTGCGTCAGAGCAGGACCATCCATAGTGAGCCATGTCCATTATTGGCAGGGGCAACGGTCACGTGTCTCTGCTGTATTCCGACCGTTAACAATTACTGCTGTTTCTGAATTCACCGTTTTCTGTGATCTGCAATTTAGTTGGGTTTGTGGGTGAAATTCCGTTACGTGTTTGCATGCTGTACCTCTCTTTTAGCTGCGTTAGGGCACTCATTAACCGGGCGTTGGCGGCATCTAGTGAGGCAATACGCTTTTCCTGAAATGACAAGAAGACAACTTTGACTCAGCAAGAAATTCATGTTTGCTTGGTGGTTATTTCACATTCTCATCCATAAAGCTGGGAGTACATCTCTACTGTAATAACTTTATGACAAAAATAAGTGTTTTTGCACTTTCCATAAAATCCTTTCCTTCAGTAGTTCAATGGTGTACACAGGGTGCTATTCTTCAATGTCTGCTACCTCTAGGAGGACTGGATGATATGAAATTCAAACTGTGGGAACAGCCCAATACAAAGACACCAACCTATCAGAGTGTTGTGTCCTCCCAGTATGATGAGTTTAAAAAAAAACCTCAATGTAAAATAATTTTCTTGGCGCAAGCCCACTGAGTGAGCAAAAGACCGGTTGGAAGCATTGCAAATCTGGCCTACTACTGAAAAGGTGGTGTTCACAGATCTAGTAGATGATGTCTTGACAGGAAAAGACCATAAGCTTGCATATGATCTGCCTTAGCCATAAAATGGTGGAACAAGAAACTGGTGCACCTGTACAGGGACCATCCGAAATGATAGGGAGAATCAGTCTTTCTGAAAGATGCAATGGTTGAGAGTTAGACTTGCAGGGGGTTATTTACTAAAACTGAAGACTGCAAAATCTGGTGCAGCTTTGCATAGAACCCAATCAGCTTCCAGGTTTTATTGTCAAAGCTTACTTACACAAGCTGAAGTTAGAAGCTGACTGGCTACCATGCACAAGTGCATCGCTTTTAGTAAATCTACCCCACATCGTCTGAACTAGTTAGGCAATAATGGGCAATTTCCTGATGAACTGGAGATGTACAGAGGGGGTCTGAAGAATGTGCTGTAATGGTGAAAGGCAATACCTACCTCTGGAACTAAGGAAGTTCTGGGCCTTAATATCACCCTGTTAAGACCAGAAAGGGTTCTTTACAGGCTAAGGCTGATAATTCAGATACTTGCAGAGGTGATGGCTAAAAGAAATACCACCTTATGGGTATGAGTAGAAAGAGGAACATCTCTGATGGGTTCAAATGGCAGTTTTGAAATGCCAAAATAAACAAATTCAGATCCTGTAGAGCTACAAAGAAGGGGGAGCCACATAGGAGGCTTGCTGACCAAAGGCCCTTATTAAAGAATGGGAAGTCAATGGTCTCTGCTCTTGCCATCTTGTTTCAGAGGATTAGATGCTGATTCAGACCCAGCTGAAGGAAGAAGAGATTTTTTTTTTTCCCCCCATTGAAAATTTCCCAAGGTGAAAGCCTTATGCCTCCCAACCAAGTGAAGTGTGTTTTCTATGTATAGTCATTGAACTTTCAAACAGTCTTCCTAGCATTGCAGGCATGACATATTAAGAAACACCCCTGTCCCTAGGACTTTGGGTATAAACAGCCATGCTGTTAAAGCCAGCAAGACTCCTCAGGTCTGAGCTACATTATATTGACAAAAGTACTGGGACACCTGCCTTTACACGAACATGAACTTTAATGGCATCCCAGTCTTAGTCTATAGGGTTCAGTATTGAGTTGGCTCACCCTTTGCAGCTATAACAGCTTCAACTCTTCTGGGAAGGCTGTCCATAAGATTTAGGAGTGTGTCTATGGGAATGTTTGACCATTCTTCCAGAATTGCATTTGTGAGGCAAGCACCGATGTCGGATGAGAAGGTCTGGCTTACAGTCTCCGCTCTAATTCATCTTAAACATGTTCTATTGGGTTGAGGTCAAGTTCATCCACCCAAAACTCACTCATCTATGTCTTTATGGACCTTGCTTAGTGCACTGGTGTGCAGTCATGTTGGAATAGGAAGGGGCCATCCCCAAACTGTTCCCACAAAGTTGGGAGCATGAAATTGTCCAAAATGTCTTGGTATGCTGACGCCTTTCACTGGCCAGGCCCAAATTCTGAAAAACAACTCCACACTATAATCCCCCCTCCACTAAACTTTACACTTGGCACAATGCAGTCAGGAAAGTAGTGTTCTCCTGGCAACCACCAACCCCAGAAATGTCCATTGGATTGCCAGACAGAGACTCCAGAGCACACATCACCACTGCTCTAGAGTCTAGTGGCAGTGTGCTTTATACCCCTACATCTGACACTTTGCATCACCTTGGTGATGTAAGGCTTGGATTCAGCTGCTCGGCCATGGAAACCCATTGTATGAAACACTCTATAAACTGTTGTGCTAATCTGAAGGCCACACTAAGTTTGGAGGACTTTAGCTACTGGCTCTGCAGACAGTTGGTGACTTCTGCACACTTCAGCATGTACTGACCCCACTCTGTCATTTTATGTGGCCAGGTTGCTGTTGTTCCCAGTTGCTTCCACTTTGTTATATTACCACTAAGAGTTGACTGTGGAATATTTAGTAGCAAGGAAAATTCACAGATGGACATATTGCCCAGGTGGCAACCTATCACAGTACCATGCTTGAATTCACTGAGCTCCTGAGAGTGACCCATTCTTTCACAAATGTTTGTAGAAGCAGTCTGTATGCCTAAGTGCTTTATTTTATACACCTGTGACCATGGAGGTGATTGGAACACCTGATCCAATGATTTGGAGGGGTGTCCCAATACTTTTGGTAATATAGTGTATGTGGACCACTAGAATGTCCTTCATCGGGATTTTGGTAAAGCGACAAAGAAGGTGTTTCAAGGAAGGAAATTAGATTAGGGTGTACTACTACCACAGATCTGCCACAACCCTGTACCTGGAAACAAACATGTCAAGTCTACTTGCCAGTTAACTACTTACCGTTCCACCCACAGTACTTTTTACGTTCCTGTGACTGCTGAACACAGTGGATTTCGGTCACTGGTACCCGGGGGATCATGTGATTGCTATGCGATCACATGTTCACACTGTAAACAAAACTGTTATGAATGAATTTAATTTGCAACAGCTGTGCTTACTCTGGTGATGCTGTGATTGGCTCACAGCTATCACATGGTACCTGGACCACTTACAGCACCCTGTACCATGTAATAATTGTGGGCCAATCACAGCATCACTAGAGTAAGCACAGCTGTTATGAATAAAATTCATTCATGACAGTTAAAACAATTGCTATTACAGTGATCATCATTGATCATTCATTATCATGAAGCTGCTTAAGGTGCAGTCAGTAGCCAGCCCAGAAAGGGCTGAAGCTAAGAGGGGGCCCATAGAAGAACAGTATGCACCGTCCTGGGTCCAAGTACAGACGGGCAGGGCTGCATGTGCACCCGTTCCTTACATCCGTGGCCTACATGCACATGTCCAGCAAAGTTGCTATAAAGGCAAGGCTTTAAAAGCTTGGCCCATGCTACCAGGGTACCAGCTGAATGCCCCTTTGGCATGGTGGGAAACAACCGTTACTACACTGGTGTTTCTCAAAGCCTCAAGGGCATTAACCAGCGCTGGAGCAACTTTGAGCCTGTGTTCATACTTGTGCGGTGCAGCATACCACATGTGATTTGCGCTGTATTCCTGTGCAAACCACATGCAAATTCTGTACAGTACGATTTGAGCCATACATTTTGTATGGATAAAATTGCACTGCATCAGCACCAAAAAAGGTGCAGGACCTTTTCTTTGGTCTGCACTAGAATCGGTTTACATGGGTATTCACATACATGCGATCTGATTCAGCACATCGCACCGAGTTTTGTGGACTGATTTCAGGGTGTTGTTAGCTCACCATAAACACCTGCAGCGGTTCGCATGAACGGGGTACAATTGTGATGCGGTGCGGAATTCGCACAGAAACCGCTGCAAATTCCTTACTGCATTAGTGTGAAGCCAGGGTGAATGTTGTATAGCCTTTTCAGCTTAATCTTCACTCCAGGTCAGGCATACTGGACAGGATCTTCAGGGACTGTGTTCCACAATGAACACAGACCTGTATTGCAAGTAAAATTACACAATGCAACTGCCTGTTGCTGGATCCTGTGCTAGTAGCAACCTATAGGCTGCCCCCTGTTTTTCACATTGGGGTCTGGGAACAGTCCCATTATGAATAATAAGTTCATAGGGACTAATCAGGATAACTGCAGTCGCTTTGGTGCACCAAGGCCCAGCAGCCGTATGCAGTTCGAAATCTTTCTTTGCAAAAAACTAAAGCAATACCAGGAGTGGATGAAGTTATTCAGGGCTGAGTCAAGATCTGCTATTGGTCAGTGTTCAATTACCTGGAGGTGGAACATAACCCAATATTTTAAGAATTAACGCTCCTGTTTCCTGTGATGTTACAATTAGGGAAAAAAAGAATATTTATTTACCAAATCAGCAGTACTGGTTATCAGTGCTCTATTTGGCTGAGATAAATTTACAATAATGTATATGGTGGTGGATATAAGATACTGGATACAAATTCCTTTAATCTGAGAATTGTGTCAGGCAAGTGACAATGCTGGGATATAAACAGCAGCAACAAGAAATATTAGATGTGTATTCTGCCAAAGATTATGAAGAGGAATGCTGGCTTCTAGTGGGGATGTTCCCTTGTAATAATTACAGATATGAACATTGAGAACATTCTAAGAATTACAAAGCCGCTTAATAAAATCTAAATGCAGCCAGAAAAATGATGTGAAGGCAAAGGGCCGACTTCTGTCGGATTACAAATTTTGATTATGAATTGTAATTAACTCAGGACAAGAAACATTGATAAGGCATCTTCATAATTTCATAGTTATTAGTGAAGCTGGCCTCATTCTTGCTGGATGAGATGTGGGATGTCTGTTAAGTGGCTGTTCAGGGAAATATATAAGTGGCACTGTCTGCTCTTTTCCCTGTGAAATTAAATAACATTTTGCTGAATTAATATTTTCTTGCCTAATAGCATAACGTGCCATCCGGAGGCAGTGACACTGGGCCAGTAACATAGATGATTCCATTCCCTACCGCCTAGAACTGCCCAGGGCCCTGTTGTATTAGAACATAGCCATACCTGTGCATCAATAATCTTCTGTTTGGAGTCCACAGCTGCCTGCATCTCCGCGTGGTCCTTTTTCAGCTCCTCCTCCACAGACATCAACCTGTACCAAACAAACCACACAATAATCTACATTTTCTGCTTTACTACAAGGTCTAAGCCAAGAAAAATGCTGAGGACAGCTGGAAGAAACTCAGTTAGAGAATTTAGAAAGAACTGGCTTTGAATGAGGCTGTGTTGACTTGCTAAATATTAGGGGAGTGTTTTCTGAATTGTAATATTCCACAGTCATTTCTTTCTACACCAGGGTCTCTGGAGCAAGGTATTGCAGCCAATGCCCTCCTTCCGTCTGACCCTGGCTACTTGGCACCCCCTGTGGAAGTATATAGCTCATAGGAGGCAATCAAATAATTTTCAGGAGCATGTGGTTTGGAAACTCTCAAAAATATGAGTTAGGATTACACTATACAGCACATACTTTTTTCTTGTGATGTGCAAGGCCCTTCCCTGTGTACCTTACTTCAAAGGTTAGTTATAAATTGGGGTGGTTGCCATCTTTGTATAGTTTGTTTGCTTGGTCTGACATGGGGACACATTAGACACCTTCAGCTGCCACGGTGGGACCCTCCAGGCAAACCTGCCCTTAGTTTATCTACTGCTATATGTGCTTCAAATTGAAGACTGTCAAATATGAGTTAAGACCACACTATACAGAGAAGCCTTGGCGAGGCACTGCAGCTTCACATATATTTGCAAATAACTGCTACTAAACTCTGTGTGTACGTGAATTTGTTAGATATATTCAATTTGTTTTTGCTTTTGCAGTCTAGCTCGTAAGTGTGCTGGGAATTGTTTTTTTTGCTGTTTTTGGGAAGTCGAGCAATAGTAAATCATTTTTCAGGAGCATGTGGTTGGGTTGCTATGGGTTTTGTGAATTTATAACCCACAGCTACAGTTCTGCACATTATTTTATCTATGTAAACAATGTGACCTATAAAGGAAACATCAGGTCTATGAGACATCATCTGTTTTTGCACTGTGACAGTTCTAGGACGCTGGGTCATTGCAAGTTACTCTGCAATCTCTGGCGCCTCACAAGCACCAATCAATATCTGGCCTATTAAGATGATGCTCATGTTTTGGTTCAAAAGCTCTGACATCTGGGTGATCTGTTGTATGTCAAGCCCAGTCTGCAGTGCCATGCAGCACATTATTACTTAAGGGGTTTAATACAAACTGCTTGGGAGAAAAGAGTGGTTTTGTACTTCACCACTCTCTGTAATGTGTGTCTGTTCCATATTCCTGTAGGCTGTCAATCTGATGGAGAGTATGGAGACATCTGGTTAACTAGAATAGATTGACTTGCTGGAAATATAATCTTTTGCCTTTTTAACCGAACAGCACAATCGCATTGCTGCAAAACACACAAATAACCTCAGACCATGTGGCATGAATATCCAGGCTGATGCCCTGGCAAAAGACTGCTGAAGGAGCTTTTCTCCGCTTTCTAGTAACGTCAAAGCTATAGCGGGTTATCTGAATGTCTCTGTACAATATATATTAGGCAGATTAACCAGTGTCATGAGTTGTATACTCTGCCCCCCCCTTCCAGTGTCCTCTACCTCCCTTTCACATCACCCCCCACCAAGTGTAGTGTGCTTTGCCCCCTTCCTCCCCAGTAGTGTCCTGTACCCCCCAAAACAGTGTTCTCTGCCCTCCCATCCCCCAAAGCAGTGCCCACAATCCATTTCTCATCACAATACCCCCCCCCCCCCCCCACACACACACACACTGTAGTGTTCTCTGTCCCACCTCCAACAGTGTCTCCTCTGTTCCCTTCACATCATCCTCCATCACATACAACGCTGTGTAGGTAGCACTTCCTACCTGCCAGCATGTGTACAGCAGAACACAGATCCATACACAGCATAGTCCTGCTCTTGAGGCTGAAAGCTCATGAATTTGGTCTCCTTAAAATGAGATCTCTAGTTCCTAGGCAGGACTGACTGAATCCTGAACACTGAGGTCTAAGACAATTTTCACCTTCTATGTGTACAGCAGCATACACATCTCCCCTGGTTTGGATTCTCACAGACATGATAGCAGTGCTTCATCTCTCCACTGAAAGCTGCAATAAGTCACACTGATCATATTCAATAATATTGGTGTAGCACTACAATAAGTGAAAAAGATATACAGTTGTGTTCAAAATAATAGCAGTGTGTTGAAAAAAGTGAATAAAGCTCAAAATCCTTCTAATAGCTTTTATTTCCGTACACACAAATGCATTGGGAACACTACACATTCTATTCCAAATCAAAACATGAAGAAAAATATAGCAAATTTGTGTTGTTCCTCTAAACAAATTGAAGAAAAGTGAATATTAGATTGTTCAAAAAAATAGCAGTGTTTGTATTCTTCTTTACAAACTCAAACATTCACTATATAAACTGAAAAATGTTTGAAGATTTTGCTTTCCTTTGAATCACTTTATATTTAGTTGTATAAGCACTGTTTCTGAGAACTGCTGTACATCTGTGTTGCATGGAGTCAACCAGCTTCTGGCACCTGTGAACAGGTATTCCAGCCCAGGATGATTGGACTACATTCCACAGTTCTTCTCTATTTCTTGGTTTTGCCTCAGAAACTGCATTTTTATGTCTCCCCACAAGTTTTCTATTGGATTAAGATCCGGGGATTGGGCTGGCCACTCCATAACGTCAATCTTGTTGGTCTGGAACCAAGATGTTGCATGTTTACTAGTGTGTTTGGGGTCGTTATCTTGTTGGAACACCCATTTCAAGGGCATTTCCTCTTCAGCATAAGGCAGCATGACCTCTTCAAGTATTCTGATGTATTCAAACTGATCCATGATCCCTGGTATGTGATAAATAGGCCCAACACCGTAGTATGAGAAACATCCCCATATCATGATGCTTGCACAACCATGCTTCGCTGTCTTCACAGTGTACTGTGGCTTGAATTCAGTGTTTGGGGGTCATCTGATAAACTGTCTCCGGCCACTAGACCCAAAAAGAACAATCTTACTTTCATCAGTCCACAAAATGTTGCGCCATTTCTCTTTAGGCCAGTCAATGTGCTCTTTGACAAATTGTAACCTCTTCAGCACGTCTTTTTTTCAACAGTGGGACTTTGCGGGGACTTCTTGCAGATAGCTTGGCTTCACATAGGCGTCTTCTAATTGTAACAGTACTCACAGGTACCTTTAGACCTTCTTTGATCTTCCTGGAGCCGATTGTTGGCTGAGTCCTTGCCATTTTGGCTATTCTTCTATCCATTTGAATGGTAGTTTTTCGCTTTCTTCCACGTCTTTCAGGTTTTGGTTGCCCTTTTAAAGCATTTGCGATCATTTTAGCTGAGCAGCATATCATTTTCTGCACTTCTTTGTATGTTTTCCCCTCTCCAATCAACTTTTTAATCAAGGTACGCTGTTCTTCTGAACAATGTCTGGAACGACCCATTTTCCTCAGAATTTCAGAGAGAGATGCACTGTAACCAGCATGTACAACATTTGCTGCCTTCCTTCCTTAAATAAGGGCAATAATTGACACCTGTTTTTCAAACAATGAATGACCTCACTAATAGAACTCCACACTGCTATTATTTTGAACATGCCCCTTTCAATTGGTGATTCAATTACACAGAATCAGCAGCATGCATGTCATGACTGTTGGGTCTGTTGGATTTCTATTACTCTACTACACCTGCTAGTAAATTATTTGCCATGTAGAAATATCATTTCTACCAAAAACAGTGAGTGATCAGGTTAGTGATGTCTGACTGCTATTATTTTGAACACAACTGTATATATAGAGGTAAATACAATAAACAACACAAATGAGTGATAGCTCCTCCAGGGATCTATATAAAGTGAAACGATAAGTGACTAGTGTGTAAAATAAACCAGGTCCCACAATAAAGTACAAAAACTCCCAATCCCAAAATGGTATAAATACACAAGGTGACACTGTGAATCCCAAAATTCAGGATCCTGAGGAAGTCACGTGGCGAACGTGATGTAACGCGTTGATGCGCAGTGACGTAGTTCCGGCGTACGCCATCTTACTACTCCCAGTGTCCTACAGTATACACCCATAACATGGGGTAACACTGCTCGATTTTGTCATCTGTAATGTAAGTGTTCATTTGGCAATTTCATCCCTATATATCTTTATTACATGGTATTGCACTATGGAGGTCTCTCTTGTTCTTTCATGGCCTTAACATGGTATATATGAACAAGTGAGCTGTACTGCGGTGATCTACCTTTGGAAGGGGAACCTGTGCTATTACCAATGAGGGTATGCGGAGCCATTGGAGCCTGTTGAATATGAAGCTGTATGGTGTGGAGCCACCTGTTGTGTAGGATCCAGTGTGATCCACAAGGTGTTTTGGCCTTTAAGGGTCGCGGCAAGGAGGTATTTCTGCTATTTAAGGATAATTATCCACTTGCGGTTGGCACGAGCACTTTAAACACCGATTGCTGAAGATTGAAGCACATCCATTTGTGTGTGTTTGCACATATTTTTGCACTATTTGGACTCTTATATACTATGTATTTTACGTGATTTTTACTTTCACTGTGCATTATTATATGTTTACACCATTGGGGTCCAGCATTAGTCACTTTAGATGTATGATTATCCCAATTTTGGGATTCACAGTGTCACCTTGTGTATTTATCCCATTTTGGGATTGGGAGTTTTTGCACTTTATTGTGGGACCTGGTTTATTTAACACCTAGTCACTTATTGTTTCACTTTATATAGATCCCTGGAGGATATATCACTCATTTGTGTTGTTTATTGTATTTACCTGTGTGTGTATATATATATATCTTTTTCACTTATTGTAGCGCTACACCAATATTATTGTCTATTTCTTTTGCACCTTTGGTATAGGTTAGGGTGTTAGCTGCTTGGTTTAGTTTCAACATATTTAGCGCAGGGGGATTTTTTCTTTATTTTTGTATCACACTGATCATATTACTTAGAGAATATGAGTTCTGACATGCTGAGAGGAACACAGCATAATCTACAAATTTCTTTTCATCAAAGTCAAGTCTAGTCTAATTTTTTCAGTGTAGGAAGGGTTAAGGGAAAGGATAAAGTCACCTTTTTCAACACGTTACACCCATATTTAGGGTGTAACATGATCTGCCCACTGTCACAATTTGAAAACAGCTGTGCCCACATGACTGTCATTCATTCACAGAATTCTGTGAATGAATGTCTACAAGTACCGTCTGCCATTGTGGCTGACCGCTTGTAGTCCTCACTGGACTATGAGGGTGCTGTTAAGAGCTCTTGTAGTCCATTGAGCTTCCTGGACTTCAGTAACTGCCTACCCCTATTGAAGGTACGGGCAGACAGTGTACTGATGGTCTGCAAGAGCATGACGTGCTTTACAGGATCGCAAGAAAAAAAAAAATTAAATGCACATTTTTTTGACCTGCAAAAAAAGTGCATTTATTATTATTTTTTTAAAGGTGAACTTATTCTTTAAACTTGCCCAGACTTTTACTGTTGTTGTGACTCTATTGTAGACATTTCCTCTTATTTCTGTCCTGGTGACACCCTGTGCAGCAGGATATGGTAAAATGTTAGTACAGCAGGAGATTAAGGAAAGTTTTCCAATGGCAACATAGCAATAACTCTTCCCTACTCCATCCAAAATGGAAAAGAAATTGACTTTTCGAGTTTCATGTTAAATGATGCTTCTTGTTAAAAACCCTTCTGTGCCATTCTGAATTTGAAAAAAAAATGTTGCTGTGCAGGGCCCTGCCCACCTGGCCATATCACCCATTCACAGAGTTCTGTAATAGGGAAAAGACAAGTTCCAAATGCCTGTCAGCTTGTAGTTCTCAATGCACTACCACGGTGCTGTTGAACGCTGTGGTAGTTCATTGATTCTTCCTGTCAGTATGTGCTTGCCCGTATGAGGTATGAGCAAGCAGATTCGCTGACAGGTCTGCAGGAGTCCTGCATGGCACCAGTGATGTGCTAATTGCTGGTGCAATGCTTTACAGGTTCCCAAAACAAAAAAAAAAAGTAAATGCATTTTTTTTTTTAACCTGCAAAAAAGTGCATTTATTATTTTTTGTTAAAAGGTGAACTTATCCTTTAAAGAGGTTTTAAAGGCTCAAGGTTTTTTTATTTACCTTCAGGCATTCTAGGCCTGAAGGTAAAAAAACCTTCTGGGTGCAGCAGTGCCCCCAGCCCCCTAAATACTTACCTGAGCCCCATCGCAATCCAGCAATGTGCACAACACACAACCTTGGCTGTCCCGGGTCACTGTCTCCTCATTGGCTGAGACAGCAAGCAGGAGCCATTGGCTCGTGCTGCTGTCAATCACAGCCAGTCAGCAAATTCAGAGAGCGGGGGTGGGGCCAAGTCACAGCGAGCTCAGTGTCTGAATGGACAAATGGAGCAGTGGGTGCCCCTACAGCAAGCTGCTTGCTGTGGGGGCACCCAACAGAAAGGAGGAGCCAGAAGAGCCTGCGGGGGACCTGAGAAGAGGAGCATCCAGGTTGCTCTGTGCAATCCCACTGCACAGAGCAGGTAAGTATAGATATGTTTGTTATTTTACAAAAAAAAAAAAATAACCTTTAGAATCACTTCAAGGCAGGTTTGCTTGATCAGGCAAGAACAGTATTGGTTTATAGCACGTCATTAACAAGAAGGACGAACAGTCAACAAGTGGCTACAGCTAAGGAGGGTCCTGCATGCCACTGGTTGTATATTGGTAGCAGAGGGCAGTTTTTTGTAACAGCTGTTATAAAGTCCCATTAATTGTTAGACACAAAGGAGGATTCTGATAGTCCTACCTGCTTATAATGCCCTTCATCTGCATCTCTTTGTCCTCCTGCTGTCTGCGCAAGCGCTCTTCACTCTCCTCCAGCCGTGCCTGATATTCCAGCAGAATCTTCTGCGTCTGCTCATCTTGGCTCTTGCAGCGGTTCTCATATTCCTCCAGCTTCTTGTTGGAAAGGCGCAGCTTGTCCTGGAGGACCATGATCTCCTGCTGGTACTGCCGGGAGAAACAGGCATTAATGGTTCTCTAAACTTTATCAACACAGTGTATATTTGAGTAAAACAGAATGAAGCCTTAAACTTCAGAGGAGGAAAGATGAATATAGAGAACTGAAGTAGAACTTTACACACAGATATGGGATCACTGTAAACAAACCTATTTCCTCTTCTGGCAGAAAACTTTTCCAGGCCTACTTATCATTCTGACTTTGCATTAACACATATAATAACCATGAACCGCTCAATGACAGGAATGCTGCACAAATCATCAAGAAAAATCAGGATATGAGCAGTGGCTCATTTAGTTTTCTCAGAGAGATAACAAGAAAATAATCATAGTGCTTATTCAAAAAGGTGGAACCAAATGCTCCTCATTTACTTGTGCTGGTAACTATGACAGTGTTTGTAATTAGAAGTTTCCTTAGGTGAAGACACTCACTTAAGCATATATGAAGAGAAACGGAATAAAGATGGACAAAAGAGTTGATCTAAAAACCAGGTACCTATCGCACCATACTCACATAAGCACTTCAATGCTGCCCAATATACCAACATGTATGCCCAAGGTGCTAGTGTGTACTTTCACTATGATGGTGCAGAACCACCAGGAGCACTTTACATCCAACTGGCTGTGAAGAAGGAGCACAGTCCCTCACCCAGTCCTATGACCCCATCCCAAAAAGCAATCATCAGGTCTGAGCACTGACATGGGGAACGTGCATATGGCTAAGCAAACGGCGATCAATAGCCAGTCTTATTTGCATGGCATCTTTTTGAGAGCTTGGGGCAGATCATACAAGAAGAGTATGTACTGACAGCTTTGTCATAATAAATATTTCAACCTCTTCCTGGTACCACAGCTGTACTTTAGGCAGGACATAGACTTTACAGGAAAAGGTGTGGAAATGCTTGAATTGTTATCAGATGAGATCTCCTCAGAATGCCATACTAACCTGTGAGTTTCACTTATTACAAGTAAGTTCATTGTGTAAAGGTAAAGCTAGAAGCAAGAGGCTACCAGTGACGTATCCCTTAGACAACCAACAATTGGGCTACCTGTTCCAACCTGTGAGACCGTTGCACCCCATCACAATGACTTGCAGGCTCGGGCTCTCTTACAGTCATGAGATCATCATCCGAAAATGTCATCTCACAGCTTTGATATTTTTAGGGATACTTATACATGCATTTTTGGCACATCGACGCAGACTGCATTGAGCACACCTATTTATTATCAATGGGCCCTCAAGGCACACTCATGGGCCAAAAAACTTGCCTGTCTCATTTTTTTTTTTTCCTGCACATCACATGGCAACATGTGTTGCATTGTGTGCTGTTGCTAGTGTGTTTGTTTTGACCACATATGTGCTTTGGAATGCCAATGGTGACAAATCGAGATCTGAATATATAGCAATAAAACATGTAAACACCCATGAAAAAACAGGAATGGGTCCTAAGTGTTGCTGCTGATGATTGGCAATGACGTTAAACATGAATGTTCTCAGGCATTTACTAAGTGCCTTCAGATTGCTAAATGCTTCCCAGCAGCACTGCCACAAACATTCAGCACCCCTGTACTGCAGCTGAACGCGGCTTTCAGAAAGATGCTTGGCATTTTGTAAACAGTGAATTGAAGTGATCAGAGTGTAACCTTTATGTAAGTTGAGAACACTGTACCTCGGATAATTACTACAGCTACACACATCCAACACTGACATCTGGCCAAAACTTCTCATTAAGAGAGAACCCTGCAATTCATTAAAAACATAAGAGACTCCTCTCCCTGTCTGACAAACAGGACTCTGTGGCACTTCAGAATATTAATTATTATAACTGTGGTGTCGATTTGTCTTTTCTGCCCTCCTGAACTTGGCCTGCACTATAATGGACACCACCGAAAGAGCCGCCATCTCTCATGTGTTGCCATACAAGGGTTGCTTGCTAGCGTCTCCATCTATTAAATTAACATAATTAATTAGCTGATGATTATTTTCAGGTATTCATTGAAGATTGAGGTGCAGAGAAGAGCCAGATTGTAATAAGTCCCTTTAGTGCTGATAATAAACAGTACTGAGATTGCAGGCAGCTACAGAGCCGACAGTTGTCAGTGTCTTTATGAAAAGGAGGCCATTAATGGCAATTATTTCAGTCTGCGTTCTGTGTATTTACATTTTGCTCGGTGGGGAGCTAAGAGTTCTTCCTAATCATTGTGTAAGACTGGAAGAAGCTGCTTGCTGTGTCTGTGCTTCAGGCAGCAACATCTCTCAAAGGACCGTGCAGCCCGCTGCTTGCAGAGCACCATCCAGCAGTGTCCTATAGCCTAAGGATAGCGGTTTTAAGGGACAGGAAGTCAGTCCTGGAAAGATTTCATTTTCCTAATGAGGCTCTTGTGCAGAGATGTGCCCAGGTGGGGGTCCCTTCAGGATGCGTTACTGTCTGCAGCTTGTGATGAGAGCTGGTGAACCAGCCACACATAGACAACACCATGTGAGGTTTAACCTGCTGTCATGTGACTGTGCAGCACTTCCTGCCATCACTAATGTATGGATTTTGGCTTAATTATACTGTGAGACAGTCTGTTCTAGAGCCACAGTGTCTGGCAGGAGGAATGTTTGAATTAAACTGGATGGGTGAATCCTCTCTTCTGCAGGACGCTCATTAGAGATCACAGCGATGTGATTCTCCATGCTTTAAACAGCTGTAGTATATCCTACAGAAATCAGGAGACATCACCTGCCGCAGTATCAGCTATATACCACTTCATTCATCACAGAGCTGCAGGCATTTATTACAGAATTGTTTTCAGCTGTTCCTTACTGGCCTCAAAAATGTCTCTCTGGGGTTGTGAACATGAAACTTTAAAAAATAAAAATGTGCCAAAAAGTAAACTGGCTGTTAACATTGTTTTCTCTTTTTAACAGGTGTAAACAACTACTATGACAAAATCTTACAGAGTGACAGACGGAATTATGGACTGAAGGCCAGAAGAAGAACGAAAACAAAAGTTGTCAATGTGCTTTTTTACTGAAAAATGCCCTTCCATCACTGCAGGCTCATGCTATTGGCCTGCATTATAGAATAAAGATTCCAACAATAACTCCAGCACCAAGTAGAGACTGCAACACTCCTCTTCCATGATGACAGGTATACAGACTGTAACAATAGGTTAGCACTGGGCAGCTACTAAAGCATCAGTGTTAATAATCATTGTAATCCAAGTTTTCATTTAAAAGAATTGGAATATTAGTACTGGTTTTATAATCATTCTGCATTGAATGAATTTTTTTCCCTCTACTGGTGGTTATTGAATAATGCCTAAATCGGCATGGAAGGCTGAATTATAATTACACCTCTACTAACGCTCTAATGGCACGAACCGGGAATATATTCTATATGCGTGATGTAAATGGACTATTTGCAAGAGGTCATGCAGCAGTCTAAAAAGCCATGCTGCATAGTTTTGTATGCTTCATAATCGAATATATGCATCACTTGTATTCTTCCATACATCAGCTGGCTATTGTCCGTTATAGTCACATTTAGCCAATAAACCTAAACAACAGAAAACCTATTTTTGAGTTGTCAGTTTTTCATGAGTACAGAGATAATCAAAGTACTAAAACGTTGGATGAACTGTGTATCACACAAGGGTTAAAAGGTTTCTCAAAAGACATCAATAGTGTGGTGCCTATGTCACGTCCATCTCAAACCTGCACTGACCACCTTTAACCTGCTCATTGTAACAAAACATCAGCCAACAAAAGGTAGAATCCGGGCAAGTATAGCCCACCCATTCAGGCAACTTTGCAGGATTAATTACCAGATAGATCCACCTGGGACAAGAGGATGTTTAAATTCAAGAAACGTAATAATTTTTGTAAGAAAGATCCACTAGATCTTACGAGACTGGACATACACCTGACTGGGCCTAATAAATAATGATCGCTAATACTCTCCCATAGTGCTTTTTCTCTTTGAGCATCAACAATGTGTTTTCTAAGGCTGGCTGTGACATTACTTCCCCAAGTGGGGTGACAGGATGAGGGATGGAGATCTGATAAAGGGAAATTTTGAGGTTCTACCCAGTTGAGGTTACCTTTTCTATTTGTGTCATCTCCTCCTTATTCCTCATATTATCCCTGTGCTTGAAATCTGGCTCAATGCTTTCATCTTCTAACATCATATTCATATTCAAGAGCCATGCGGCTGTGCGGTCCAGAGCATTGGGGTTCACAGGTGAAGGGGCCTAAAACAAAACATACAACCAGAACAAAAGAAAGCAATGAAATTGAAAAAACAAAAACATGAGCAGCAAAAGAAAAATGGAAATGATTTCATGTCAAAAGGCATGGCTGCACACGATAAAAGCCTGCAAGCTCTCCAACAGTTGTGGAACTGGTTTAGTAGCAAGCTGGGATCTGTAGTTCTACAATAGCTTGAAAGCCAAAGTCAACTAAAGATCAGGCAACTATCTTGAAAGTAAATGACAATATACCACAAAAATGTTCATTAAACTTCTATTTGCAATAGACTAAACTAAATATCTCTACCTGGGTCAGAGAGACAGGATCACTGGGGTGGATATATGTCCCACTAATTTTGCACTTTATTTTCAGACTGGTGACAGTTGTCCTTTTGATGCCATGGACATGGCATCAGAAACTGACCTTCAGCAGCAAACACTAGCATACATGATGGTACATAAGAGCGAAAAGAGCAACATTACCCATCAGGCCATTATGGTTTTTTTGCTCAGTTTCTCTCTCATCATTGGATATTGTGAGCAGCACAAGGGAAACTTGTCAGTACCAAACCAATCAACATTCATCAACACTGAGGGTCAGTAGATAAACACTGCACTCCTATGCACAGCAATCTAGGTATTTTACATGAAAGTAGACTGTGTAATAAACCTCTCGATACGGAATTACCCATTGGTTTACAGTTGCCGTTCCTAGTGATGATGAAGCAAACAATTGCAACAAAATAACCCCAGCA